GAGGTGCTAACCCATTTCTCGTTTACAATTAATCTTTCTACATTACACCGTAAACAAATTTGACTACGATCAGTTGGTTAATCATCTTATTCCGGAGTTTCAAGCTGACAATAAAATAACTTTATCTTACTTGTGTACTGTATATCTCATAGCATATAATAATGCTTTTTTTGTTGGCTAATTATAAAAAAAAGCCCAATATTCTCCGTCACTAACTATTTATCAACCCAAAGGCTTTTTATCCTACGTCCAAATTGCAATATTACCAATGTCCCGGTCGAAGCACTCCAGTCATGATCACGTGAATCCAAATCATCGTCTTGAAAATTATATCACGTGTCTGGTGTTTCACTAAAAAAAAAAAAATGTATAGAGAATAAAAATACAATTGATAATTATGGGATATATTGTGAATTATATAGCTATATATTAGAAAAGCAGAGAAAAGAAAAGAAAGAAAAAACGACAAAAAAAAAAAAAAAAACAACACAATCTTTCACGTTCTCACCGGTAACCCAACCTGCAGGACGCTACCAAGCTTCGATTAAACATTGTGATTATAAAAATATTATATTCTATTTATTATTTACATTTAATTAAATAACTATATATATATATATATATACAAAGGATTTGTGACCTTTGATAACAAATTCACGCGAATACAATCCTGCGAATGCTCATCGCGTCTCTGATTCTTTGTCTCTCTTCTTTCCGTTTACGAATTCTCGGGGCAAGATAGTTTCGAACTGTAAGGTCAGTACGGCGAAGGCCATTTTTATTCTTGGCACTTAGACTCTTGGCAATTTCCGAAAATGGCGTGGACGAAGTTGCTGCATATTTTTTCTCTTGCTCGTCGATGAAAGCCTTTTCCTCGTCGCGTAGCTCGCTGTGATCGATGTCGGGAGCAAGATGATTGCAGTAGCGTTCTCTCAACGATTTTGAGTTTCTGCGCATTTTCGGTTCGATTATGGCAAAGATGTTGTGCCTGTGGTCATTTATGAATTTATCGTATAATTGAACGAGCAGTGCATCCTCCTCCGTTGTAAACCTCCCTGTACTGTAGGACGTGATCGGTTGAGAACCACCATTGTATCCAGGTTCCATGGAAATAAACTCCACGAATTGCAATTACTATTTGTCACTATTGCACAAGAGCCTGTCTAAGAGACCAAATAAATTTATGATAGCCCGCTTCGAGACAGACTCCTCTTTTTCTATTGATAATAATAATAATCGCAATTCTGAGACGAAAATTAAAAAAAAAAAAAGGTTTATTGATGTGGATACGAAATGTTATATTTGCATAAAGACGGTGGGTGGGTGGGTGGGTGGTGGATTGAGGATTGATTGTTTTGTTTTTTTTGCAAGGGGATCAAATTAGCACTTTTATATATAGCATCCGTCCACCTCAGACCCAGCAATAGACCCATCCCAAAAAAGGCATCTGTGAAAGACCCGAGTAGCACACGAATCAAATGCTGGCGTAAGTCAAAGTCTGAAATAAGAAAAATGAGTGACACACTTTACTAATGACAAAAATAAAGAGTGAGTTTATGAATTCAAAAGTGTATGCTTACTTCCATTTAAAAAAAGGTTGTTTAGTTTACCTCTAATAAATTAACAAGATTGTATGTATGCATGTTGAATGTTTTCATTTTTATCTGATAAAATAAAAAAATTTTTTTTTTTTCTTCTTCTTACGACAATGACAAAAAAAAACCATTTCCCGAGACAATCAAAGATAACGAAATATTGCGAACACGGAAGTTGTATGTTTTGCCATATTAAAAGATTACACTGTGACTTGTAAGGAATAATCTGGAAACGACTAACGTGCTGCCCCCTTCACAGAGAGGATCGTTGTTAGGTCAAAGAAGGTTATATAAATGAGGAAGATTCCGGGATAACATCGCGACTTCTCCGATGCATGTATCCAACGAGTGTCAAATTAAATAAAAAAAAAAAAATACATGTATAAAAATAATAAATAAATAAATCTAGATCATATCGTAAATTAGCGAGCAGGTGACCCGACATTGTTTATAGCTTAATCGCATAATCTTATCAACCAAAAATTTTTTCAAGTCACGGAAATGACACCGCAACACTTATCACATGGGAAACCGCTGTCGGAATTTTTGCATCATCTTACACCATGAAATAAATTATAAAAGTTCTTATGGTAATCTCTATCGCTTTGATGAGCTGTCAAATGCAGTTAGAAAGAAGCCTTCTCCCAATACCTATTCCAATTTCACAGGCATGCGCGTACACAAAATCTAAAGAATAATTTATGGTTTTTTTCCTGCATTAAACCTTTATCAGTTCCGCGATCACTGACACAAACAAAATGGTTCAAATGATATCCGGAAAGTCTCACCAAAAATAATATGGTCACATTTCCACGTGAGGAAAAAAAGATAACTTATAATTTGGAAATTTCTTTTTTTTCTTGAGGAGGGAAATGACCACAAAAAATATCTCCCGACCTTCTTGAGAGAGAGTTTATCCATCTTCTCTGCGCGAATGAGATGAACTCCTCGGGATTTTTGGTTGGAACACTCGAACTGATTCCGCGTAGCGCTTGGAATTACTAAAAATTCACGTTTTCACCCAAATACATTCTTTCTTTATCTCTTGTTTTGTATTAAGAACCTAGGATCGTGTAACGATTCTCAAACTCGCATTTGTGCTCTGATAGTGAAAAACAATTTTCCGTGACGAAGAATCATTGTGACACAGGCGGACCCAATTATTCAAAAGTTTCTTTAAACATGAATATCTAACACCGTCCCATATCCTGCCCTTATCTGCTGCATGGTTCTCTTCCGAATGTACAATCTCTGAAATCACAAAGAAAAATTCGGATTGCGCGTGGCTCACGAGACGCGTGATTGACATTTCGTCTTTCAATATTCGCCTATTTAGGTGTGAAAGCGTTTTAATCACAATCACATGACAACCATTGGTTGAATGAATTTCACCGACTATGAGGGTTAGGGTCACATTCTCCGAAAATTTGCAAGAACTGAAGGATTTCCGGTTCACAGGCTACAGGCTACATAATCAACCGGAAAAAAAGGAAATTTACGCCCTGCTTAATATTTAAAGATTATTTTATGCTTATTTTTAATAATTGGACAATGAAATAATAATATGATACAGCAACAACAAAACTTCCAGTATTAGCATTGTGAGTGAACGAGAGATTATTTTATGTCAAATAAGTGTTTTTCCGATTAAATTTGTGCATATTGTTCTCAGGAATGTATAAATTTAATCAAGATATGTAGCCATAGGGCACAATACAAGGTACAGTATCGAGTACAAAAAAAAAAATCAGTCGCCTTCAAAATATGCTAAGCAAATTATTTCGTGGTGCATGGGAACTCGCAGAATCTACAGTTATCGATGCTGCGCGACGGCCACAAAAAGCATACCCGCCCATACTTAAATATCCACCGGCGGAAAAAAATTACATTTCACTTTGTAATTTACATGTGAACGAAATGATGGTATTATCATTGAAGACCAAAACGTTCCATCATACCCGTAATAACACGCGTTTTTTAAACACAACCAATTCACCACTTGACGGCCAGTGGACTAACGAGTGCATTCTCTACGGCGTGATATTGAGTATGAAGCATTTCTTTGCACTTCGATGAATCCTGCCCCTCGAGCCATTCGCTGTAAAGAGATGAGATTAATTAATTTAGTCGGTCTTCGGACAATCAAAACATTGAGACAAAAACCATGATATGGGGGAATAACAAATATCACGCAATCGACATTACCTGTAAAGATTCTGCACAGTCTCATTTTGTTCGGGCGAAGAAGAATCTACAGATCGGTAAACGTCATTCACCTTGGCGATCCAATCCTTTATTGGAACCGTTCCGTCCGGTCTTAATTGGCCACCTCCATTTATACAACCAGAAGGACAGGCCATCACTTCCACATAGTGATATTGTATGTTTCCACCTTTCATCTTTCGGATAATATTCTGTATACTTCGAAAACCATACGCCGAAGCAAATTTCAATAGGGGTTTCCCTTCGACCTACAAGTGAAAAAGGTGTGACTAAGACGGATCATTTTTGATTGACGTAGACTACGAGCAAAATGAAATCATGCATACTTCGAGTGTCGTTTCCTTGAAATCTTTATTACGACCGGTTTTGACCACTACTCCCTTTTCACCGTCAACATCAATTCCGGTCATTCCAAACAATTCACGTGCCGAGTATTCGAGAATGAACTCCAAGAACCCCCCTGATGCCGACCCCGCGGACCCCAGTAACTGTCCTTCTTGAGTAGTCTTTGTTAGTGAGTGTAGAGGTAACTCGGGGCTCTCTTTGATGTCGTAATTTTGTTCCCCAAACATCTTGACCACTTCGACTGTTGTTATCACGCAATCGACATCTCGAGTTTGATATTTTTCATCGAAAAAATCTGATCTTGATGCCTCCAGCTTCTTGTCATAACACATCATAATTCCAACGTGATAAATATTATTTGGTCTGCGTATTTAAACACGTCGAAGAGAAAAAAGATTTTTTTTTATTTCAATGGGAGAAGAAAAAAAAGATTATCAAGGAAATCGTTTGGACTACCTACGTGACTCCAATTTTCTTTGCGAAATAATCTTTGACAATCGAACCCATAATCTGTTGTGGTGACTTTGTCTGACTTATGTATGGCAACACGGATCCATGGGTTTTTTCGGCGTAGCATATCCATCCTGGACAAGACGAGGCCAACATCGGTAAGCTCGGGTCGTCCAAACCTTTCGATTTATCATCATTCAGCGATAATTTTTGACGCTGCCTTTCTTGGAATCCTCGGTATCGTTGCACAAACTCTCGCGCGCTTTCGAGTAACGAAAAGTCCCGCGAAAATGACGTGTCAAACACATAATCGACACCAAGTGACCGAAAGAAGTGAGTTAAGCGTCGAGCTACCTGAAATTTTCAAATCGTGATAATGAGATGTGTGTTTTATTTACCCAAGCATTGGTAGCATTCATGGACTTGTAAAAGTAGGCTTAAAAATAAAACAGTAGAATACCTGCAATGGTGATAGCTTATACATGGCGGCGATAGAGGCTCGGGATTGAGGAGCGATCGAAACTACCACAGTCTTCACATTATCAACTCTTCCTTCTCGTACGGCTTGCTTATTACTTTTCAGTACGTTGTATAGCTCTTCATGAGTTTGCGTCGTGATTAGGACACTTTCGGCGGATGTGATGCAACCGCTGTTTAATCGAAGTGGTTTATTGCTTATCCGTTGAAGAGATGATTGCTAACAAAAGGGCAAGCTCATATACCTGCAAGCCAAGCAGTCATCCAGGGTAATTCTCGCGGTCTCAAGTTTCGTCTCGACACCATCTTGAAAGACTTCGTAATAGCCGCCGGAATCATCTATTTTGATCACGTTCTATATAAATTTATCATTCAAGAGAACGACACGCTTGTAAATCGTTTACATCGGATCAATCGAAAAGGTCCAGCACAACTTACACTACTTTCCGTCGCGGTTTTATTAACTTCAACAGGTTTTATGCAAGCTTGGGAAGGAGCAATATAATCGTTAAGATCTTTCAATAATACAGACATGGGTGAAGAAAAATGCTGTAACGACGGTAATCATGATTTTTTATAAAATAAGAAAGCCAATCTTCTCATCAGATGAAATAATTTCCATTTTATTGATTCAAATTTGCGGATCTTGATCCGTAACAGATAAGATCATCTGATCTGTCGGCTTAACGTAAATGACCAAAGAATAAATTATACTGTACATTATATTATCAATACGAAAAAATTTTTTTCAAGGTTCGTCTTTCACGCCCCTTCGGCAACATGCCCAGCAACTTTATTTCCTGTCGCGCATCCAAACCTAGCTCTTAATAAATCGTATTTTCGTTTATCCGCTTTAGACACACTTGATGTCACCTTATCAAATGCCATTTCAAAATGCTTAGAATTCACGTAAATATCTTGCTCCGAAAGTTCTTGATTCTCGGAATATAGGGTAGCTCGTAACGCGGCCACCGCGGCCTCGCGAACAAGAGAAGCCAAATCTGCTCCGCTATATGTGATCAACAATGAATTAACGTCATAATGACACCGCCAAACAATCGTGACCTTAATTATCAAGCACAAACCTGAAATCGGTGCACCTCGGATCCAATGCAATATTTTCTAATGACACGTCATCACCCAATGGTGTCAGCTTGGTTAAAGTCTTTAAAATTTCAATTCGCTCCGATGCCGTAGGCAATTCTACAAACAAGAGTTTGTCCAATCGACCAGGACGCATCACCGCTGGGTCAATGATATCTTTTTTTGTGAAAAATAGAACGTTCAGTGAAATTGCAGCGCTAATATTATCATGATCCCATAACGTCCACCATAGGTGGGTACCTGGCCTATTAGTAGCAGCCATGACATAAACTTGTTTTCGGCTCTCCAAACCATCTAATTCGGTCAAAAGTGTATTAACGACCCGTGCAGAAGCTTCAGACTGTTTGTAAAAATTACGAAATATTATTAATGGAATACAACTTCCGTGTCACACATGTTCGAACCGTGAAAATAGAAACCTGAGAGTCGTCCCGCCGTGCACACAATGCATCGAGTTCGTCAAAAAATATAATGCATGGCGAAGATGCCCTTGCTCTAGCGAATACTTGCCTAACACCGCGTTCACTTTCACCCACATACTATTGAAGTCACAAAAGGTGCATTTTTCAGGTGATGGAAACACTGTAAATGACCGGGGAAAGAGGAATCGCAATTTGGGACGAATGAACGCATGACGAGATACCTTATTCAACAACTCTGGTCCCTTGACCGAAATGAAATTTGTATGACTTTCATTAGCAACTGCTTTGGCCAAGAGTGTTTTACCGCATCCGGGAGGTCCCCACAACAAAACCCCCGATGGCGCGACTATACCGACCCTCCTAAAGAACTCCGGATGTTTGATTGGTTCCACGATTGCCATCCTCAACTCATCTCTCACAAATTTTAATGCGCCGATGTCCGTCCAAGTGACATCGGGCACGGTAGCAAATCCTTCACGCTTGGAAGAAGGTTGTACCTTCGAGAGGGCTTGTAGAAAATCCTCGTTGGTGATGCTCAAGGGTTCAAGCTCTTCACTGGTGAGCGGTTCCGGATGATTTTTAAGAAAGTTGGATATTGAACGCATTTGATCGGTAGGTGATTGATTTTCAAATGGAGTGAACGAATCGCGTAATGTATTTGCGTGTGATGATCTCTCATCGACACTCATTCCCGATGAATCCTCGCCATCAACCTTTGTAAAACTACTGGCTTCACCCAACTGTGTAAATATCCGCTTAACAGCTAAAACACCAGCCGCCGTTGTCAGCGCGTTCAAATCGGCACCAACATAGCCAGGAGTTAACTTCGCAAGAGTTTTATAATTAAAGTCGCCGGAGAGTTTTAGCCTTGAGGCAATGACTTTTAAAATTCTACAAGCAAGCAAAAGAGTACCATTGAGGAATTAACGTATACGCATGCGCATCACGACGAAACTTTTAAAGTAAGATAAAATACTTTTCTCTTGCTTGCTCGTCCGGAACTCCCATGCTAATTTCTCTATCAAACCTTCCAGCGCGACGAAGTGCCGGATCTAGAGAGTCGGGCCTATTCGTCGCCCCAATTATCAGTATAGGCCGATTGTCCGTTTTTTCCCAGGATAAGTCTGCACTACACATCAACAAGATTCAACGCGTCAAAAACCTGCATAGGGCAAAATGTGATTTAAGGTCAAAAGTCGTAAAACATGCCATCCATGCACGTCAGAAGTTGAGCGACAATTCTTCTTTCCATCTCGCGTTGAGCAGTTTCCCTCTTTGGGGTGATAGCATCTATCTCGTCGATAAATATGAGGCAAGGAGCTTTCTCCTATGTGATCAGCGACGCCGCCAACAAAACACAAGGATAAAGAAATCGGACACAATTACATTCACGTGTTCCACTGAAACAAACCAATATCTGATATATCCGACACATACTTTTGCTTCATCGAAAATCTCCCTGATCTTCTTCTCCGACTCTCCAGACATTCCAGACACTATTGACGGCGCCGAGATGCTAATGAATTGTATTCTCAATTCCTAATCGCAGAGATCATATTTATTACATACTCTATCGATCAAAACTAAAATCATTCGAAAATTACCCCGGCGATGGCGTTTGCTAGAAGTGTTTTCCCACATCCGGGGGGACCATGAAGCAGAATTCCCCTACATATCTCAAATGTAAGCCGTGATTTTGATTTAACGAACGAGCCTTATTTAACTAACCTTGGTGGTTGGACACCTGTGTGTAAATAGATCTCTGGATGGGACAAGGGCATGGCAATTAATTCTAAAACTTCTTCAATACACGAATCGACTCCTCCAAGGTCGGATAATCTCGCAGTCGGTAATGCTGTCGTGTTATGAACATCCGTGACCTCTAAGTGCAAAGGGTTAAAGAACCGATTTAGTGAAAATCGACAATTTAAATAATCTTCGCTTCATCACACCTTTCGATTTCCTTGATCCGGATTTGGTCGTCACTCCTTTTGTTTTGAGAGCGAGATCGATCTTCTCACGCATCTCAACATTAGAGGTATTTGGTGTTGTAATGGTGGTGGAGTTTGTTGTGGTTGAAGGGGTTGACTTGGACGATTCTGTCGGCAGCGGACGATACTGTGACCATATTTTTGTTATAGAGTTATTCATGAAATTCGTATCCTTTGTTTAAATAGATAAAAGTGATACACAATTGGATAATGTTGGAATAGATAGGCGATTTTTTTTTTTTCGAAAAAAAAAAAGCCATCATCTCTAGAGACCTTAACTTCCATCAATTGATTCGGCTCCAATCCTTCGAATTCCATTGCCACTGAATCATCATTTTCAGAAGCTATATCCGAAGATTCGACATTTTCGACCTCCGATTCGTGACTAAAGAAAGAATAACCACTGAACTAAATGATATGCGTCGATTTTATCGTATGAGGATAGGGTGATCACCGACCTTCCCAACTTCGTTTTTCTTGACTCACCATCACCAGCAATCGAAGAATCTTCGTGTTGGTCATCAATCTTTTGATTCTTTAATGTTTTTAATACTAATAATTAAACATTTTTGCAACTTTATTTCCAATAAACTCGATCCTATTCACTTTCTCCTATTCGAATTCTATATCGATGTTACCTCGATCAATGCTTTTTTCCAACTGCAGCTTTTTCATTCGCTTAAATCTAAAATCCACATTTTGAACGTACTCGAATACTGCTGAAGATGTTATATCTCCGTCTTTGTCCTCCTTCCTGATTTGTTGTATATGTGAAGTCAATCGCGTATCTATGTCGTCGGTCAGACGCGTACGTTTCTTTGTGGGTCTCTTTGGCATTTGACGCAGAAACTATTGCCCGACAAAAACCGTCCGCTAATTATGAGAAAAACGCTCCAGTAAAAAACACCTATTAATAGTAATAATTTTAATGATAATCTTTAAAACAGTGCTTGCATAAGTAATTTATAATATTGATTTATTTTATTTATTTATTTTATTTTTTTTTTATTTTATTTTTTTTTTTACCCGCCGTCTGGCCGAATAGTCGGCTACATGCACAGTATTACATATTGCTAATTAGTAAAGGACAGCACTGGATGGTTTTGAGGTGCATCTGTATTAAAGAAAGATTTAGCAGTAATAACCTGCTGACAATAGAATGTTTATTAACTGGATTACTCATGGAGTAAAAATTTCATTTCCAAAGTTGCATCTAGAGTTTCTTGAAGTATCTATTTTTCAATTCCTTTTTTGTCACTGCTCAGGGTTTATATTTATTTCTTTTGGTTTATTATCTATTAGAATATCACTTGAATTGTTAATTTTTTTTTCTTATTTCTATTTTTCTTTTTTTTTTTTTTTTTAATTATAACCCTCTGTCAGGCTAGTTATGTGTGCTTTATTAAACAATTGTAAGCTGTACA